AGCGCGACGACGACAGGCGGGGCGACGCCGCAGATATCACTCGACGTGCACTTTTTATTGGACGGCAATGAAAGTTCCAAAGGTGATAGCTAGAATCCACCCCACGGTGTCGGATTCCTTGCGCCGCCGCGTCAAATTCGCCTCGAAGACTGTCATCGGCCAAGCAGCAGCACGAGCAGCAGCGGTTGTTGTGGGCCTATGTGACTGCAGTTTGCGCTGGCTGCGACGCGCGGTCCGCCGATTACTTGGACGCACGCGACGTTTACTGGTCGTTGGCCTCAACGAATCCGCGACCGAATCCTGAACAAGCCATGTTTGCCCATCATCGATGAATCTCTGCGGCGTAAGTACGCTGTACTTGGTGGGCAGTTGTAGGGGGTCGAGATAAATGCATTCACTACCGGTATGCGCACCGTCACCCTCGCTGATAAGGTCATCGCTGCCGCGGACAAGGGCGCTCGGCCGCTCGTGTGGGCCAATTGTGGTTGCGACGTGGGCTCAGAGCGGGACAGCCGTTTCGTTGACAAGCAGGAACGAACTCATCAGTGTCTTCTGACGTACGCCCGTCGGACCAGTAGAAAAGGAAGCAGATCTTGGGTGCGCTGCCGGACGAGTGAAGCTGACGAGTCCATCGATTTCGTTCCCTGTGTAAACATGCACGAGTTGCCGTGTCTATGCACCGTCTTCATCATCATGTACTCGACCAAGTGGACCTGAAACGGCCGCGAAACGCCTCGGCCGGTAACCGGGCCGTCTCGTCTACCACGAGTCGCCAGGCTGTAGAGGGCAAATACCTACTAACGTACATGTCTTAGTACATAGCAGCTATCTCTAGTGAGGCTCGTGGCCTCTCACATTGCGCGCTTCGACCCTTTCAAAGAGCTTTCGACGTACTACGACGCGCCGAAAGGATGATGTCCCTTCTGCGAGTATAGTATTTGCCGATGTTCTAGCTCGCGATGCGTACTGGTAGCAGACTCGTCACTGCGCTCGCTCGCCCTGACCTTGGTGCTGCGGTGGTCGGCTCACTTCGCTCCGCATGCCCATGACGTGTATCCGGAGGTGCAATCGTGGCGCTGATTGGCTAAAATGATAGAAATCCTGGCGCATCACGACTGGTTTGGACGATTGCGATGATGCGAACCGCTGCTACTCGGCTCGTCACGTCCGTGGCGGCGACGGCCCGCCCAGCCTCCGCCGCTGCGGCCCGCGCCCTGAGCAGCGCCGTCGCCTCCAACGCGCCGTGGTACCGCGTCGAGATCTCGGGCTTCCTCTCGACGCTCAGCGAGACGACGGCGACGGATGCCGACTATGCGCGGCTCGCTGCGCTGCCGCAGCGCGACGACGTCATGGCCTACGAGGTCCAAGTGCTCAGCGACTCGGTGCAGCACCTGGGTACGTACCTTCCAGCCTCGCGCAAGAAGCAGATCGAGACCCTTTGGGCCAAGACGCTCGGTGTGCTCGACACGATTGACGATGCGTCCGCCAAGGCGGACGCGTACACGGCCGCGTTCCAGGCGCTTGCCGTCGCCAACGCGCCGAGCAAGTACATGGAGCACCTCCTCAAGCGCATGCAAGGCGAGCACCTCGAGGCGAACCCGACGATCCACATCGCGATGCTGCACGCTGCCCGCGACCGCAGCATCCTCCAGGTCCGCCCTTCGCCCCTCGCGTTATCCTCATCGTCACACACTCAGTATTCTCGATGTGCAGGTGCTTCGCCGCGTCAAGGCTGCGCAAATGGGCGCGGTCCTCCTCGACGCCGACGCGACGCCGCTGAGCCCGCGCGAGGTGCAGAACCTCCACTACCGCGCGCAGTCGTCGTTCGTCAAGTCGCTCTACGCCGAGTTTATGAGCTCAACGACCAAGACGTTTGCGCTCGAGTCGTACGCGGAGCTTCTGAAGGAGATTGCGGCGCTCCTGCCGCCGCTCGACGACAAGCTCATGGAGCGCACGGTGCCAGACGAGTACATGGACAAGCTCGCGGCCGTCTCGGTGCGCGCGCTCGCGATGACCGGCCGCCATGCCGACGTGCTGGCGCGGCTCGACGCACTCGAGGCGCAGTACGCAGGGCGCAGCGCCCGCGTCCCTGAAACCGTGTACCTGGCGGCCATCGAGGGTCTCTCGGCCGCGTACCATAACCTCACCATGGTCTCGGAGCGCCAGCTGCGCACGCGCAACCAAGTAACTACCCTTTCTCGACGCGAATGCAATTGTCATGCGGCCTGTAGACCGAGGACGTGCAATTGGCGCCGAGCGTGCGGCGGCTGCAAAAGGTCCAAGCCACGCTCGAGGCCAAGCTGTCGAGCAAGGTCGATGGCATCGCGTCCGAGATGGCCGACCTCCCGTGGGCCGACGTCCAAGACCAAGTCGCCGACGCCGAGGCCTCCAAGGAATACATCCAGTACGCGCTTCGAACCTCGCGGCTCTCGACTAAAACGCATTTATAGGTTTGTGCAGCAGCGTGTGCGTGGCGCGAGCGTCCTCGAGAGCTTCCGCCTCCTGACGCAGGACGCGATGGCCGCGGGTGACGCGTTCGTCGACGCCGTCGCCGGCCGCTACGCCAAGAGCTACCCGGAGCCCTCGATCGCGCTCCACACGGCGACGCTCAAGCAGTACTTTGTCGCTGCCTCGCGTTACGAGCGCCGGCTCAAGCGCAGCGGGCTGTTCGCCGATGCGCTCGTCGCCCGCATCTTTTCCACGCTCGATGCCGTCGCCGGTCGCCAGACAACCGAAGCCGACGTCGTCGACGCGCTGCACTACGCCTTCCGCGCCCTCGCACTGCTCTACCGCCTCCCCGAGGCCCGCCGCGTCTTGGAGATGAAGAGCGAATGGTTCCCGCACCTGCAACCAACCGTCGCCGAGTACGACGACCTCATCATGCTTCTGTGCGCGACCAAGACGACGCGCATCGCCGAGCCGCTGGCGCTGCTCCAGGAGATGCACAACCGCGGTCTCAAGCCGACGCCGCTGACGCTGCACCGCTTCGTGACGTTCCGCATGCTTGCGCTCACCAAGGGCGACGACGAAGGCCACGTGATCAACGAGAAGCAAGTGGCGCTGGCCCGCCGCCTCCAGCGCTCGCTCGAGGGCCACGACGACAGCGACAGTGAGGACGAGGATGAGGACGAGGATGAGGACGAGGAAGAGGCCAAGCCGACGTGGGACGACGTGAGCCTGAGCGACCAGGACAGCGTCGCGGACGTCATTTCGTTCTTGCAAGACTGGCACAACATGACGGGCGTCGTGCCGTACGGGAAGACGGTGGTGCCGCTCGTCGAGTACTGCGCCGCCAAGCCGAGCCTCAAGTACGAGCTCTCGCGCTTCGTGCTCTGGCTGCAGACGCTGCCGCTCGACGCCGCGACCAAGACGCTTCTGCGCCCGCACGAGAAGACGACCAAGTAGACGCCCGTAGAGACAACAACTCGTTGATAGAACCATGTACTTTGGGACGTTGTGTGGAATCCATAAAGAAGCAAGCAGCGTCAACGAACGCTGCGACGACGTCGTCTCGCCGTACAAGCGGTGTACCTAGCATCTCCGCTCCTACACGACGATACGTAGTCGTGGCGCCACGGCTACGGCAATGTCGGATGCAACCCAAGCGTTTGGACGGACGACGGTGTCGATCTCTGCCTCTCTGGCGATGCCCTGCACAGTGGGATCTGCGCGTGTGACGAGGGTGCGGTGTTCGGTCGACTTGCGCATAGCAGCCAGTCGACGACTGCGTAGGCACGTGACTCGTGTGGCAGCCGGTTTGCAGCGCACCGAAGCCGCGCACTCAACCTCGTGTGACGTGGAGTAAACGCGCGCCTTCGATACGCAGCTTGTCGCGGGCCTCGCATGCCACCGCCGCCTTGCCTTGCAATTGTCTCTTGCGCTTTGTATGCGGCGGCGGGCGTGGCCGCAGGCAAAAGCCGGCAGTGGGACACGTGCGTTGAAGCCGTGACAGCGACGGGTTCAACGTCCGCTATACAAACTTCAAGACGTTTGTACCCAATGCATACCAGCTCGTATGCTCAAACACTTTTTTATTTTCCGCCCGACGCCAGTCATTTGGCCATGACCCTCCAGCCGACCACGTGCTCGTACGACGCCTGCGCGCGCTTCGCCAAGGAGAAGAACCTCTGCCTCACGCACCACCGGTGGATGCTCCAGTACCTCTCCAACGCGTACATGAAGGACCACGCGGCGCCGACGGTCCTCGACCCCAAGATCCAGCGCATGAACCCGAACCGGAAATGCAAGGCCAACCAGTGCTGGTCCTACGCGCGCACGGGCGGCTACTGCACCATGCACGGCGGCGGCCGCAAGTGCAAGGTGCGCAACTGCCACACGGCGTCGCAAACCGGCGGCTACTGCCGCACCCACGGCGGCGGCTCCAAATGCCGCGAGCCGCGCTGCGCCGACTTTGCGCGGCTCCGGGCCTCTGCCTCCAGCACAACCTCGAGGCCGAGCGCGCCGGCCGCCTCCCGCCCGCGCCCGAGCTCGCCCAGACAGCGTAGCTAGCAGTATAGACTATTTAACGCAGGTAGAGCGGTCGATCCAGTGTTCCGCATGCGACAAGCGATCACCAACAGCAGATTGGCCAATGAGAAGCGCGCTAGGAACGTGGCAGCGTGAGAAAGCAGCAGGCGTAGGGAAAATACATCGGGAGCGGCTACTACTGCTACGTGTTTGCGCAACGCGTCCTTCAAGGTACGACACACGCCTCTCCATGGAGTGGCGTGTGGAGCGAGAAATTACGTTGTGGAATCTACTTGCACCCAAATCCAAGACTTGGCATTCACGACAAACGACACTGCAGAGCGGTTCTTTAGCTCCACGGGCGTCTGGGATGCAGCTATTAGAGGACTCCGCGCGCTCGTTTCACCCAATGACGAACCGCCAGCGATGAGTCCCGACATAGCCCACAGTCAGCGCGCGATCCTCGCCAGTGCACGCTCTCTAAACGGTACTTGACTGGCGGAAGCTGCCAAGTGCCTTCTTCATTTGCGTGTCGACTCGACAATCGCTTACGACGCAACGACGCAATGACTACGCGTAGCCTTGTTTCTGGTGCTCTGCGCAGGTCAGTCGTACCAAGGCCATAAATTTATGGTCTTGGTTCGAGCTCAATGAGCGGTGTTGTTGGTGAAAAGCATCATGAACATTGAAGAGCGTTCGTGGTCTTCTTACAGGATAGTGCGACGACGTATTCGGGCCTCAAGTCGTCCATTCTTACCCTCTGGCTCAGCTTGCACGCAAGTCGTCCATTCTTACCCTCTGGCTCAGTTTGCACGCTTTGCGCTTGGTATTGTCGTAGGCTCGAACGCAACAATCGAGTCTTCCGCACGACGCTGACGAATTGCTGTCATGGCGGCTACTATTACGAAATTGCACGTCCGGCACTTGGCTCGTCGCGCCGTGGTGCCATCATTTGACGCGTCGTTTAACGCTCTACGCGACGGCCCTTGGTGTGCGCGCTACCTCGTTCGGTGGATGGTGTGGGCGCAGGCATGCAATCCAATCGAATTTGGATCACAATCCGGTGTTTTAATTGGACGACGCGGTGCGGGGGTAGGCCGTTGCCTCGTCGTCGCGGCCAACGCACTTGCAGCGAACTCTGTTACCTTTCTCGTTAAAGGTACAGAGCTCAAGTGTCGCGGTGTCCATGCTTCGCATCGAGTCGAAACGAAGGATGACATCGAGACCCTCAAAATCACAGTCGAGCGACCGTGCACGGAGAGACCCGCACTTGAATGATGTGTGTTTTCCAAAACGTGTCTGCGGATGTGTGGAGGTCTGCGCAGCTATCGATCGTATCCTGTGGTACAGAGTTGCCAGCCACGAAAACCTTTCGTCCGACCTCGTCCGCGCCAGAGAAACGCGTGAGCGCCATGATAACCTCTCTCTTTTGATGTTCCATGCGATATGTCTACCATCAGCGTCGTCTTCAACATCTCATTCGAAGGCCATTGGATTTACGGTGCTAATGCGGCGTCTGCATCTGCGCCAGCGTGGGTGCTGCGTCGTGACAGACACATCCCCACGCGACAGCAACGTCGGCTCAGACTCGTGCGCCTCGACAGTCGAAGATACCAGGACACAGACGCTGAGGCGGATCGCAGTGGTGGTGGACCTGTCGAATAAAAATACGGTACCGTGCAGAGGCTGTGTATGCGCGGGTGCATACAAAGAGTATGTTATTTTTCTGTCGCGTGGACCACCGTACAGTGTATGGTCTGTGACGAGAGAAATATTTCGAGCACAGTTGGACCTTGACGCCCCCTCTGCGGGCAAGCGCCGTGGCGTGCTGATGAGTACACCCAGAGCGAGCTGCGCAGCGATGTCGCGAGCAGCCATGCACGCACGCTCCATACTAATGTGAATGTAACCAGTGTCGGTGCAGTAACAAGCGATCTCGAGTCTGTCGAGTACAAGCGCTAAATAAGAATCAATTAGAATAAAAACTAGGGGTGCGTTCAAGCGTGCACGGGGAACTGCATCGGCGGCGAGTCCGTGTCACTGGGCTTGATGGCGTCGCGGCCGCGGTTGTGCTGTAGGCAGAGGCCACCGATCCGGGCAAATTGCGCGCAGTTGGCCACGCGGCAGCGCGAGCCACCGCCGTGCAGCCGGCAGTAGCCCCCGGTCTCGCGACGCGGTCGAGCAG